CCCCTCTCTCTCTCTCTGATCAGGTCCCTCAGACTTCAGCCTTTCTCAACAGGTGACTGAGATCTTATTTTCTCAGCTTTATCAACTTCTCCATTAGATCAACACAATAGTTAGATTTAGGGAACTCAAACAAAAGTTTCTTCAACCTGCAAAGAACTTAATAGCAGTTCAGACATGAGAATTAGGAGGATAATTCTTTGGATAAGTGACTAGATATCCAGGTAAAGTAAGGGTAAAACATGGAGAAAGTAAGAATCATAGTATTGAAAATGGAATTTGCTGCAAAGTTGTTAATCACCATTGTTGTCTTTAAATCCCTTAGGATAGTACACAGAAGAAACAAGTGAAAACTAAGTGCCCTAGCTTCAAAATACAGATCTGGGCTTCTGAAACTCAAATAGAGGAAGACTCTGATGGTCTGGTCTGGGGTGGAAATACTTCTGCAGATTGTGCAGACAGGACAGCCAGGGGCAAACAGTGACGGAAGAGCGGACCAGTTGCATCTACTTAGATTCTCAGTTCTGCATATCAACAACTGGTAACCCCAAGCTTACTCCATACATGGTCTGCTCAGTCCAACTGGACAGAAATATTGGCTAAGCAGAGGCAAATATGACAGCTATTCCCACATTCTAAGCCACCCTTGCCTGAATCAGAGACGTGCTCAAGGAGATCAGGTTATGGATTCCACTGAAGTAAAGTGAGATTCTTCTGCCCTCCTCCTCCAACTCTTCTGCCCCAGCTCCAAAGGTGGAACTCCTGTTCTGAGCAGTAGCCCACATGGATGTTCCTTACCAGACATGAGTCCTAGAAGACAGAAACAGTGCGGTTCCCAGGATCTTAAGTGTGCAGTGCAGCTCAGAGCCTCAATTCCAACTTGGATCCAGTTCTCCACACACTTGTCCCTAGCAGCTGTTCTGTCCTGCTGTCCTCTGGGACCGTCGCATCTGAGGTGGTGGTGGTAGCAGCAACGGTGGGGCTTCTCCTCAGCTGCAGCTGCTGTGCTCCCCCCCTCCCCAGATCTGCTCTACCTGCAATTAGAGAGGCGAAGGCAGCAAGAACTCCGTCTGTCTTTGCTTGCCTTTGGCTGTTGAATAACCAGCTCCTCCTCCTGGACACACACCAGCTCCTTAATATTTCAGGACTGCGGGAGAAGCTGCCAAGTCCTGCTATCTAGGGAAGGAGCAGCAAGTGGGCCCAGCTGGGCTGGAGCCACCCCTTCCTTCCTGAAAAGAGAGGGTTTTGCTCCTGGCTCTGGAGCATCCTTCTGACTTAAAATGGTCTGTGATGAAGGAACTGCTCCACAGCAGAGAACAGGAGCAGAAAAATTGCAAGGAATTTTTCTTGCTTTGGCTTCTACTTTAAATAAAGCCTCATCAACTTTTTTTTCTTCCTAACTAGGCAATTAAAAAATGAAGGAGGAGGGAGCAAGGTCCTCCTTTTGTGTGAGTGGAAGCAAATCTTTCCTTCTGTGCTCAGGGGAAGGCTGAAACAAAAACATCTCTCACCTTATTTTTCCATGCATGGGGCCACTTGCTTCTCCAAAAGTGGTGGAGGTGATCCCAGAGACTTCTGGGCAGGTTGGCAAATATTCTGTCTTTTACCTTGGGTAAAAAGTTCTATCGCCCTGCTTCCCTGGCAACCTGCCCTCGCTGGAGAGGATATACCCAGTCCTCTGAACACTAGGTGAGGCCACCTGGCAAGTTCTCCAAGTAAGGAGTGGCTGGTGGGCACAGCTAACTTTGGAATCTCCTGGAGCAATGAAACTGAAAAGGGCATTGTGGGAAATTAGAAAGGTAATGAGATCCAGCTACCTGGCATATTCTGGAATGCTGGGTCTGGAAAAAAATACATTTTGTAATTTATTTCTTCCTCTTCCTCTTCCTCTTCCTCTTCCTCTTCCTCTTCCTCTTCCTCTTCCTCTTCCTCTTCCTCTTCCTCT